GGCATGGTACTTGGGCCTCCCAAAGGGGGGGCGTCAATGGGTATAACACGGGCGCTTTCGCGCCCAGATTGTGCGGACCTCTCAAGCAAAACGCCCGCTTCGCTCCAAAAAGGCGTCTCATTTCATAGCCACATGACTACCGCGATGCAACAACCTTGGCACTTGGACACTGGTCGAAGCTGCCCAACTCGAATTCGCCCAAGCGAATTCGACCGGCCGAAATCGTTCGGTCGAATTCGACATATACGTCCCATCTCGACCAAATCACTTCGACGGGCCGAGTCCGACAGGTCGAGTCTAACCCGCAACACCGCTGCGGCTGGGAGTCCGGCAGCATTCGGCCGAGCCGACTTCGAGCGGGCCGGCTTCGACCAGGCCGACTTCGACGCTGGCCGACTTCGCCCGGGTCCACGTCTGGTAGACCGACTGTGACCTCTCCGAGTTCGACCGGCCAAAACCGACCCGCCAGATTCGGCCGGGCCGAGTCGGACCCGCAGAACGCGACCGGGTCGAGTCTGACGGGGAAGCTTCCGCGTGCGAGCGGGCGGTGTTCCATGCACGCGAGCGTGCGGACCCTGACCCCAGACTCCCGTCGTCGTCTTCGTCGTCGTCGGCGTCGTCGGCGTCGTCGTCGTCGGCGTCAGCGTCGGCGTCGTGCGTCGTGCGTCGTGGGTCGTGCGTCGTGCGTCGTGGTCGTTGTCGTCGTCGACGACATCGTCGACGTCGTGGGGTTCTGGACCCCCGACCTTCCCGAATAATTTTTCCAAGGGGGGTGGGGATTCTGGATCCCCCGAACCCGAAAATCATTTTCCTGGAGGGGGGGGTGGGCCTACCGAATATAGTTTTTCCAGGGGAGGGGGGGCTCCGTTTCCCCCCCCCCCTTCCCGTGTTTTTTTTTGGGTGCCCTCTCTGTCTTCCCCTCCTTCTGCCTTCCCCCCTCTGTTAATTCAAGCTGTGCGCGGCCCGCTCAGCTTCGACCGGAAGAGGTGCGCTCTCGACCCGCGGATCAAAAAAGAAGTTTTTTTTTTGGGTGGGGGGGAGAGTTGACCCCCCCCTTCCAGAGGCGGCAGAAAGGCCCTCCTTCGGAGGATGGCTTCAGAGGGCCGTGCCGCATGCCTCGCTGCGAGCCGTTGTGTGCGGTCAAGACGAGTCCGCCGACTCCGACGGCGCGTGCGCGCGGCTGGCCGGGCGAGACCCTGGCAGAGTCGAGCGCGTCGGGGCTTCTCTGGCGAAGCCCAGGCAGCATCTGCCCATTTCCATCTTTGCCCTCCTCCTCCTGCTCCTGCTCCTCCTCCTCCTCCTCCTCCTCCTCCTCCCCTTCTCCTCCTCCTCCTCCTCCTCCCCCTCCTCCTCCTCCTCCTCCTCCTCCTTGCCCGCGGGGGCGCGCGGCGGCCCGCGATCGAGGATGGCCCCCAGCGCCAGGAGAAGGCGCGACCTACCACCAGCTCATCTCGTGCAATTCCCAGTGTGCACGCGACGCCCCTTCCGTCTAGCCTTGCCCCCGCGGGAGCCTGCCAGGGCGCATGACACGGGCGCGCTCGCGCTCAGATCGTGGGAACCTTCAGTGCGACCAGATTTCAAGATTGTTTGCTCGTGCCAAGCCCTGCTCACCCTCCGATCTGCTCACAATCGCGCCCACTCGCAATTCGATTCGCTCAGATTCTGCCGCCCACGCACTGGGGCCCACTCGCAACCATACCCATTCGCACCCAGGCGCTCGCTCTTATCCATACACACTCATGCCAAATCGCTGCCATAATGGGAAGGTTTGTTAGCCAGCGTGGAACCCACACAGTGTGTTGCCAGAAAGCTATGTGGTGAAATCTATGTTGTGTGAAATATGCGACGCAATGCATGCTATGTTGTGCAATAGATGTTGGACAACCAATGTGGTACAATCTATGTGGTGCAAGCTATGCGATGCAATCTATGTGATGCAGTGTGTGTTGTGCGATTTATGTGGTGCACAGTCTGCGGTGCAATCTGTGTGGTGCAACATATGATGTGCAACCAATGTGATGTAAACTATGTGGTGCAGTGTATGTTGCGCGATCTAAGTGGTGTAATCTGTCTGATGCAATACTTGTGCTGCAATATATGTGGGGCAATTGTGCGAGGCCGCGACGAGGCGGCGACGGGACGGCGACGGCGACTACGCAGCAGGCAGACCGACGCACAGGCCAAGACGATGGCCACCGACGAAGCGGCGACGGCGATTACACAGCCGCCAGACCGACGCACAGGCCCAGTTCCTTAGAAAGCAAATAAGAAGCCCTAAGTGCAAGCACTGTTTGAGGAATGCATATCTCGACATATCTATATATACACACATGTATGTATATATATAAGAATATGTATACAAACATATATATATATATATAGATAAATGTATACATACATACTCACATTAATGGATCACAAATGGTTTGAACAGGAAAAAAAGGCATTGTGGGCAGTGAAGTCCGTGCATGTCAATCCGCATTCCGGAAGGCTCTCGGGAAATAAACTACGGAGGGGGGCGGAGGCATGATGAATCGGGTTCCCAGAAGGCCTTCTGGGAACATGGGCTTTGGGGGCATCTTGGGGAGCCTGTTGGGGCGTGCCGTCGTCGTCGTCGTCGTCGTCGTCGTTGTCGTCGTCGTCGTCGTCATAATGTCGTCGTCGTTGTCGCCTCTTGGGGCGCTTCGTTGTCGTCATCGTCGTCGTCGTCGTCCTCGTCTTCGTCGTTTCGTCGTCGTCGTCGTCGTCGGTTCAAGAGGACACTTGGGGCAACTTTCTTCGGAGCCTCCGGAGACTCTCGGGCCCATGATGAACCATGTCCCCGGAAGGCTTTCTGGGGACATGATTTGTTGGGGTGTGTTGGGGGGCTCTTGGGCGTTCCCTGGGGGCCACTTAGGGGCCTCTTGGGGCTTCCTGGGGGCCTCTTGGGGGCCTCACGGGGCTTCGTGGGAGCCTCTTGGTGGCCTCTGAGGGCCTAATGGGGGCCTCCTAGGCGGTCTTGGGCCCTCTTCGGGGTCTCGTGGGCCGTCGTGGAGCGATCTGAAGGGCCTCCGAGGCCGTGAGGGAGCGCAGGGAAGCGGGAAAAGCGAGAATACCCAAATTCTGCAAAAACCATCAGAAAGTGAATGAATTTTGGGAGCCTCTTGAGTCCGTCCTGGAGCGCGTTGGAGTCCTCGTCGGTCGTCTTGAGGGCATCTTGGGCGCCTTCGGGGCCTCTTGGGACCGTCTTGGGCCCTCTTGGGACCCCCTTTGCCTATCGTGGCCTGTTTCGGGGCGGGCCCAGCCCGTTTCGGGAGCTCTGGGACCCCCCCAGAACCCCCAGGGGGCGCCCATGGGGTGTACATGCAGCGGCCCGGGCCCCCCCCCCGCCTACTCCGATATGTCTGTCTGTCTGTCTGTCTGTCTGTCTGTCTGTCTGTCTGTCTGTCTGTATACATGCATACATGCATGCATGCATGTATGTATATATGTAGATATGTATATATGTTTGTACGTATGTACGTATGTACGTGTGCATATATGCATGTATGCATGTATGCATGTACGTATGTATGTATGCATGCATGTATGTATGCATGCATACATGCATACATGTATGTATGCAATTTTGCATGTATGTATGTATGCATGCATGCATGAGTGTATGCATGTATGTATGTATGTATTCATGTATGTATGTATATGTATGCATGTATGTATACGCGTACGTACGTACGTATGCATGCATGTATGTATGTATGTATGTACGTATGTATATATGCATGTATGTATGTATGTATATGTATGTATGTATACAAGTACTTACGTGCGTACGTATGCATGTGCGTATGCATATTTGCATGTATGTATGCATGTATACACGTATGTATGTATGTAGGTAGGTATGTATGCATGTAATTATGTGTATGTATATATGTATGCATGCATACATGCATGTATGTATGTATGCATGCATGTATGTATGTATGTATGTATGTATGCATGCACATATATATATATATGCACATATAAATATGTGAGAGAAGCTCGCACTCAAATCGACGCGCACTCATACTCAGTTGCACAGGTTGTTCCACACGCAGACACGCTCACACTAACATCATGTCAAACTCATATTCACTCGCGCCCGATTTCTCACATTCAGATTCTGTTCCGCCAAGGCTCAATCATACTCAGCCGTGCGAAACCAGACTCGCTCGCACTCAGATTCCCTTGCATTCAGACTCCCAGGAAAGGAACGACCCAGAACACAGAATCGCACCCCTTCCTGGCGCCGAAACCTCACGAAGGCTCGCACGATGAATGCGGTCACCACCCCAGCGTCGCGCGCCTTCATCTCAACACCTCGTGTCATATTTGCACGCATGGAAGGCGGGACCTTGCCGAAGCCTGGCACCCGTCGTCGAGGCGAAGGAGGCTGACGAGGAGGAGGAGGAGGAGGAGGAGGAGGAGGAGGAGGAGGAGGAGGAGGAGGAGGGTAGGATACGACGTGCTTCTCTCCTCGTCGTCGTCCTCGTCGTCGTCGTCGTCGTCGTCCTCCTCCTCCTCCTCAGCCTCCTCCTCCTCCTCTGGAGCGTCTGGAGGGCGGGCGGGCGGCTCCGGCTCCAGAAGCGGTGCGCGGGGGCGAGCACCCCCGCCGCGCCGTGCTCGGGTGCGGTCTCACCGCGTGCGGCCCCTCGAGGCCCATCGAGCCCTCCCTTATTGAATGGGGCCCAGGGGCGCACACACGTAAACACACACACAAATCCCAGGATCCCCCATATCTTCAAATACTTTTAGGACTTTCGTCTCCCCCCTCCCCCACAACCCATATTTTCCAATACTTTCGGGGGAATCGAAGATTCATTGTGTCTGTGTGTTCTTTTCCTCCTGTCTTATGATCCTCCCTGGGCAGCGCACTCGGAGCCGCGTGGTGTCCCGGGACACGTGAACAAAGCAGTGGCTCTGCGCTGTCAGGGCCGCGCTGCATGAGGCAGGAGATGCCAGACATAGTGTGAATCGCGGCTGCAGGCGCTTGCTGATTGCCTGTGCTGATGCTTGCTGCTGCTTGGTGTTGGTTGCTGCTGCTTGGTGCCGCGTGCTGCTGCGAGCAGCCGCTTGAGCCTCTCTTCGCCCTTGTTGGGGTCTCTCTTGGGGCGTCCCGCATGCTTATTCCAGCCGCTTGGTGCCCGTTGAGCAACCCATGGGCACTTCTGAACCATTTCCAAACCCTTTTAGGCTGCCTTGGGCGAGGCTGCGGTCATCTTGGAGGTCTCTTGAGCGCCTCTTGCGGGCCTCTCGGCCTCGTGCTGACTCATAGAGCGCCGATTGCAGGGACCACCTACCCGCCAAATCAAATGGGATGCAAGGCCGTCCATGTCGACAACACAACCGAAAACCGACCGAACGAAATGACACCGACACCGGCCGAAACCGACAGGCCGCAGAGACAGCCTAGAAGGACCCGACGACGCGGCAACGACACAACGACCGACCGAACCGAACCGACCAAACGCACCCGGCTGCGACGCAGCCGAACCGACCGAACCGCGGACACCCTTGGGGATGTGGGTGGGCAAAAGGGAGGAGGAGGAGGAGGAGGAGGAGGAGGAGGAGGGAGGAGGAGGAGGAGGAGGAGGAGGAGGAGGAGGAGGAGGAGGAGGAGGAGGAGGAGGAGGACGAGGAGGATGAGGAGGAGGAGGGAGAGGCCAACCTCCGACCGTGCCCCCCTCCCGAGGAGAGGGCGGATCGACCGAGAGGGAGATGAGGGAGGGATGGAACGCTCCCCGCCTGGCTACACGGCAGGCTCCAACCGTGGCGACGCCGGCGCCAGTCTCTGACACCTCGCCGACTGCTCTCGGCTATACGCAAGGGTGACCCTGGGCGAGAGTGACCGTTAGTGCGCAGCTTTCGGGGGGCCGCGAGGGGGGCAAAACCGAGCGCGCGAGCCGCTGCTGTAGCATCTCGCCTAGCGATCGGAGAGCACCCGTGGGTCCGCACCAAAGGTCCCTCCGGCGAAAGGTCACTCATACGTGTATAGAAGAAGAAGAAACTACTACTACTACTACTACTACTACTACTACTACTACTACTACTACTACTACTACTACTACTACTACTACTACTACTACAACTACAACTACAACTACAACTACAACTACAACTACAACTACAACTACAACTACAACTACAAACTACAACTACAACTACAACTACAACAACTACAACTACAACTACTACTACTACTACAACAACTACTACTACTACCACTACTACCACTACTACTACTACTACTACTACTACTACTACTACTACTACTACTACTACTGCTACTACTACTACTACTACTCATCATCATCATCATCATCATCATCATCATCATCATCATCATCATCATCATCATCATCATCATCATCATCATCATCATCATCATCATCATCATCATCATCATAATACTGATAATAATAAGAAGAAGAAGAAGAATACTAATACTAATAATAAGAAGAAGAAGAACAAACGGCATAAAAGTAAACTTTTGGCGCTCCGCGCGGATCTCTTGGATCTGCGCTGGACCCTCCTCCATGGCGCGCGGAGCGCGCAAGGGGCGGCGCCGGAGGCGCCGCCAGGGGTGCCCCAGCGCGGATGCAAGAAATCCGCGCGGAGTGCCAAAAGTTAATGTTTTTGCTGTTTTTCCTTCCTCGAGTGTAGTACATGTTCAACCCGAAGGGGAGGCGGGGGTCCGAGAGCCCGGCTCCTCGTGAACGTGCTCCACTCGCCAGTCGAGCCAACGTACCCCGCCGCCGGACGCGTGCCGGTCCCTCCGGGACAGGTCGGTCACCTCCCGAGGCAACGCCAAAGGGGGGGCCACCACGGAGGCGGTCGCCTCCTCCTCCAGAACACGGCCCCCCCCCCCCTGGACTGCTGGACTGGACTATGCTGGACCCCCAGAGTGGAGGGTAACAAATCCCCCCCCCCAGCCCCATAGTAACCACCCCCCGACAAGCGCGGCCGTTCAGTGAACGCACCCCGAGGAATCGAAGAGGGCAGGGCTGCATAGTAGACGCCCAGGGCCGTGCAGTACACGCCAGGTCTCGAGCCCTTCCCGCGACGGAGGCGCCCGCAAGCGTCCCAGACCTCCTCGATCCTCGATCCAGGGTTTCCAAAAGGAAGTGCTTACCCACGCAGACCTGGCAGTTTGGCCAGTGATCCTCCTCCTCCTCCTCCTCCTCCTCCTCCTCCTCCTCCTTCCCTCCTCCTCCTCCTCCTCCTCCTCCTCCTCCTCCTCCTCCTCCTCCTCCTTCCCCCCGTTCCCCAGATTCTTATCCACGGATTCCACGATTGGGGGGGAGGGGCCGGGCCCACCCCTCTGTTGCGGCACCCGCGTTTCAGCCGGACATGAGCCAGCCAGGCCCTGCTCTGCCAGCCTCCCGCTGCCGGAGCGGCGCCTGGCCTCCGAGACGGAAGCGGCGACCTCCCCTGGCGGTGACGCCACCCCCTGGCGCTGCCCCCGAACTTGGTAGTCCCCAAACGTGGTGGTGACAACACCTGGCGGTGAGTCTCGGGCGATTTGGTGTCACCACCCGGTTTGGGGGCTCGTGCGGTTTTCCGAGGATGTCCCGAACGTTGGTGGGTCCAGGAGTCACAGAACCCGGCGGTGACCCCGCGTCCCCAAACCCAGCGGTGACCTTTTTGGGGATTCCAGGTCGCCACCTGGTATCTCACCACCCGGTTTGGGGGTTCCCAACGAACCTCCAGCACTCCCCCGATCGCGCCCGGGAACTCGGCCCGGAACACGCACTGCTCCACGTGGAAGAAGGCGCGGTGCCTGTCGCTGAGCCACGGATTGCAACAAAAAACGAAGGTTTTTTTTTTTTTTTTTTTTTTTTTTTTTTTTTTTTTTTTTTTTTTTTTTTTTTTTTTTTTTTTTTACAATCCTTCGTTTTTTTGCAATCCTTCGTGCTTTTTGCAATCCTTTTTTTGCAATCCTTCGTTTTTTTGCAATCCTTCGGTTTTTTTGCAATCCTTCGTTGAAGAAGGCGCGGTGCCTGTCGCTGAGCCACCAGCACCACCACTGCGGCCACGAGATGCCCGCGGAAGCCGCCGTCAGCAGCACCGCCTCCCGCCCGGCCTTGTGCGGGTCGACGGCGTCGAACGCGAGGCCTCCCAGCGACGTCTTCCCGATCCCCCGGAAGAGGGCGACGTCCAGCTTGCCGAGGAAGGCCTCGCCGAGCAGCCACCGCCACTGGGGGAGCTGCGTTCCGTATTCCCCCCGGGAAGCCCATCGCGAGGGCAATCTTTCGAGAGAGGTGCCGATGAGAAGGGGGCCACCCTCCCGGGGGGGGGAAGGATCACGGCTCCTCCCAGTTGTGGCCGCTGTGCCTCGTGCGCCCCTCCCACCGTGTTTACCGAGTCGGCGCCGCGGCCGCTTGGGCAGAAGTCGAGGTGGAGCACCCGCAGCCGGAGCAGCTGGCGCAGCGACAGCTGCTCGAGGTCCCCCTGGGCTGCCGCGACGTCGGCTGCGGGAATCGCCTTCTCGGGAGAGTCGGAAGTGAAAAACGGGGGAGGTAGGGCCATGGGGCGGATTGGAAGAAAGTCGCGCTGAATGTCCACTGCAGGAAGAAAGTGTGAGCCTCCAGCTTGAAGCCTCCTAGATGGGGTCCGAGTAGATGGGGTCGAAGGATCGCGCCGCATCGCCGATGCATTGGCGATGTATCGGCGACGCCGACGATGCATCGGTGACGTGAGTGTAAAGAAAATCGGGCTCCGCATCGAGCTGCATCGCCGATGCATTGGCGATGCGGCGCGATCCTCCGATTCCATCTGCTTGGACCCCATCTGGGAGACCTAGTCAGCTGGACTCGTTGCCTCATCCCACCATGGGCTAAACTTGGGTCGGGCATGTCCTCCTACAGGCGGAAACACGACAAACAGTCCAAACACACTCAACACTAGTCAACAGCAACTTGACGACTCGTCCCCACGCTAGTCTTGTGCTACCTGTGGACCTTCCTCCTGTTTAGAGGGACATGCGACACGCCCGACTTACTGACGGCAAAACCCCTCGGTCCGGTCCACCCCTTTTGCTCCGCGGGTCGCGGCGGCGGCCCCAGCAGCACGCCGATGTTATGTGACCTGCAGGCGCCAGTTGGCGCGCGTCGAGGAGGGGGAGGAGGAGGAGGAGGAGGAGGAGGAGGAGGAGGAGGAGGAGGAGGAGGAGGAGGAGGGGGAGGAGGAGGAGGAGGAGGAGGAGGAGGGAGGAGGGGGAGGAGGAGGAGGAGGAGGAGGAGGAGGAGGAGGAGGAGGAGGAGGCGGAGGGGGAGGAGGAGCGAGGAGGAGGGGGAGGCCGGGCCGGGCTCGCGCTGGTGGCGCTCGGGGTCCCGGGGCGTGGTCGGCGAAGGTCGCGCCAAGGCGCGGAAGGACCCGCGGCGCGACACGCTGAGCAGCCTGTCCTTGCGTCGGGCGTGTCCCTCTACAGGAGGAATCTCCCAAACTGGTCAAAACATAATACATATATATATATATATATAGATATATGGGGAGAATTTTTCGACCTGTTGCCGAGCATGTTTGGATACTTTTGGGCTGTTTTCTTTTTCTTCTTCCTTCCAAAAGCCGCCTGTAGGAGTACATGTCCGACCTAGAACTACCCTCAGGTCGGGCATGTCCTCCTATAGGCTTATTTTGGACGAAAACAAAAAAGACACTCAAACATACTCAACGGAAATCGAGCATAGTATGAAATCTTCCCCAGACTATTTTGTTTGCCTACTTTTGAATATGCCTCCTGTAGAGGGGCACGCCCGACTCAAAACTGTCCCGATCGTGCGCGCCCTCGAGCCTTCAGGTGCAGGGCTCCCGTCAGCAGCTGTCGGAAGAGCCCCTCGCGCAGCAGCGGCGCCTCGCACTGCCCGAGGCGGAGGGGCTCCGTGGCCCCCTGGTCGTCCCACTTCTCGTCCAGCAGGCGGAGGCCCGCCTTCAGGGCCTGGCAGGAGCGGCGGAGGAGGAGGAGGCGGAGCAGAAG